TTCACCTTGTCCACATTCTCTTTCCCCCTTTTTCTCCTCCACCTCTTTCTCTTCTCTTTCTCCATTTGTTTGTCCTACTTCACTTTCTTCTTCTTCTGTTCCACCTCCACCTGTTTCTCCTCCTCCATCTTCTTCCACCTCCACCTGTTTCTCCTCCTCCTCCATCTTATTTTTTTCTACCTCTTTTGGCTTCACCTCCACCTGTTTATCCACTTCCACCTCTTTCTCCTTCTCCACCTTCTTCACTTCCTCCTCCACATCTTCCTCCTCCTCCACCTGTTTCTCCTCCTCCTCTATCTTCTTCACCTCCTCCTCCACCTCTTCTTCCTCTTCCACCCGTTTCTCCTGTTCCTCCACCTTATTATTTTCTACCTCTTTCTGCTTCACCTCCACCTGTTTCTCCACTTCCCACCTCTTCCTCCTCCTCCTCCACCTGTTTCTCCTCCTTCACCTCTTCCTCCTTCTCCACCTGTTTCTCCTCCTCCATCTTCTTCACCTCTTCTTCCTCCTCCACCTGTTTCTCCTCCTCCTCTATCTTCTTCACCTGCTCCTCCACCTCTTCTTCCTCCTCCTCCACCCGTTTCTCCTGTTCCCTCTCCACCTTCTTCTTCACTTCCCCCTCTACCTCTTTATCCTCCTCCTCCTCCACTTGTTTCTCCTCCCCCTCCACCTTCTTCACCTCCTCCTCCACCCATTTCTCATGTTCCTCCACCTTGTTTTTCTCTACCTCTTTCAGTTCCTCCTCCACCTGTTTCTCCTCTTCCACCTCTTTCTCCTTCTTCACCTTCTCCTCCTCTTTCTCCTACTCCACTTTCTTCTTCTCCTCCACCCATTTTTCCTGTTCCTCCACCTTATTCTTTTCTACCTTTCTGCTTCACCTCCACCTGTTTCTCCACTTCCACCTCTTTCTCCTTCTCCACCTTTTACTTCACTTCCTTCTCCACCTCTTCCTCCTCCTCCACCTGTTTCTTCTCCCCCTCCACCTTCTTCACCTCCTCCTCCACCCATTTCTCATGTTCCTCCACCTTATTTTTATCTATCTCTTTCAGTTCCTCCTCCACCTGTTTCTCCTCTTCCTCCTCTTTCTCCTACTCCACTTTCTTCTTCTTCTCCTCCACCTGTTTCTGCTCCTTCTCCACCTTCTTCCCTTCTTCCACCACTTTCTCCTTCTCCACCTCCTCCTTTATCCTTTTCTCATCCACTTGTTTAACCTCCATCTGTTTCTTCTTCTCTACCTCTTTCTGCTGCTCCTCCACCTGTTTCTCCTCTTCCACATCTTTCTCCTCCACCCGTTTTTCTTCTCTTTTTTATCTTCCACTTGTGTCTCCTCCTCCACCTTTCTTCCACTCCACCTTCCTCCTCCTCCATCTGTTTCTCCTCCTCCTCTACCTCAGACTCTCTCATCTCTCCACCCATCTGAGCGGCGCTCCAGCCTGATGGCTAATGAAGGAGCGCAATTAGCGTCTTTTAATAAAGGTTAATTATCTTCTCTCAGAATATGACTCACGCTGTTCCTTTCTGTGTGTCGTAAACAAGGAGGAAAGATCAGACATTACCGTGATTATATGGGCCATTCTGCTGGATTAGTTCAATCTGCAGTCAAAAGAATGATTAAAACACAATTACCAATTCAGATGCGGAGTGTTTCCTCACAGAACGTTCTGGACTGCGACCCCCGGCATTAACAGAGATGACGATAATAAGCGTAATAACACCACATTACAGCACTTTCTATTAAAGCCTGGATGGATCAAGTTAAATGTTTATTATAAATATTTGACTACAGGTTACAGTTTTGCATATTAAAGCAACAAACACGAATAGCAAACATATTAAACTGAATTTAAATTTATAGTGAGTAAAATGGGTTCACTTTATTTTGATGGTCCATTTGAGTATTAGTAGACTGCTTAATATCTGCTGATGCTGCTCCTTCAACACTTTTAACTGCACTGTAACTTAATATCCGTTATTTTACGCTATATTTCTGTCATTTAACAGCCGTTATTTTACGGGGTTTTTTTTCCAGCTGCCATAAATAAACCATAAAATTACGGATTTTTTTTTTTTATTTTTTTTTACAGTGCACTGTTATTCAATACCCAATTATCGTAACTTGCCTTAACTTAGTTAAGCTTTTAAATGTCACTTTAAGCTGAATACTGGTATCTTAAAGAATATCTAGACTAATATTATTTACTGTCATCATGACAAAGAGAAAATAAATCAGTTATTAGAGATGAGTTATTAAACTATAACCTTTTGAAATGTGCTAATCAAATGTAAACAGCACACACTGGGGAAATATTTTACAAATATTTCAACACGAGGTCTAAGAACTTTGACTTCAGCTGTATATTTTAATATCCCATTAAGATGAACTGAGAGTAAGAAATGTTTGATTGTGCCGGTGATTGAGCTCTCTGCAGTGGCACATGCACATCACCGCCGCTTCATTTTTCCTCTCATTATTATTCCGTCCAGGCTTCCAGAAAAGCCCTGATAGGGTTCCAGCAGGGCGACTATCAGCTGAAATTATCCCGCGCTGCAAACCGCCTCTGACTGTCGCAGGAAATAAAAAGATCAGCACTTGACATCTTATTTGAATTAGAGGCTGATTCTCGCCGCAGGGAACGGGAACTGTGCACTTCTGCTGCCATTCTGCACACGGAGCCCTGGACGGCGGCCGAGACTCCGCTTCCCGCCCTAAATAGTGCACTATTTAAGGGAGCATCTATTTCTAGTGGTGTCTGAAACCATAGTGGACGTTATGAAGTGCACTCAATCAATCCCTCAATGCAACCCACTCAGCAGCTAGAACATGTCAAAATGCACAGTGAGACCACTAGATAGTGACCATATGGCAGAATCATTGCAATCAATCCCACAATTCACCTCAATAATGAGTCTACAACTCATGCACACTCAACCACTTGTTACCAAAAAATGCACTGTAAGGCTTTGCCTGCTAAATTAATTATTTGTGTACATGCCAGGCATCAAAACCCTTTGTTTCTGCCACAGAGCTCTGGAGGGTGGCCGAGTCTTCACTTTCCACCCTAATTAGTGCATTATTTAAGGTAGCATTCATTTCTAGTGGTGTCTGAAACCATAGTGGACATTATGTAGTGCACTCATTCAATCCCACAAAGCACTCCAATAGCGAGTGTACAACCCATGCACACTCTGCAACTAGAAAGTGCACTGTGAGATTTTGAGCGCTAAATTAATTTCCGCATCTAACCACTAGATGGCAGCAATATAGCAAAATCGTATCAATAAATCCCACAATGCACTGCAATAATGAGTGTACAACCCATGTGCACTCAACAGCTAGAAAACACCCAAAATGCACGGTGAGAGTTTGTTCGGCAAATGAATTTCTGCATCTGACCACTAGATGGCAGCTATACATCGGAATCCTATCAACGTCTAGTTTCAAAATAAAATATAATTTAATAAAACAACCTTTGCATACATGCCAGACATCAAAACTCTTTGTTTCCGCACACAGAGCTCTGGACGGCGGCCGAGTCTTCACTTCCCACACTTAATAGTGCGCTATTTGGGAGTTCTCCAGATCTACCTGAGCTCAAACTTCCCTCTCGCCCTGCAAATGGGAGAGAGCCCCGGGCTCGGGGATCTTCTGAGCTCAGGGCTCTCTCCTGAGACAGCATGCCAAACACACTTCATCAATCATCAGCTCAGTGTGAACTCTTGAAATATACAAACCAAGAGAGAGTTTGCAGGACGGAAATGAAGGAAGCGCGTGTGCATAACACTTACATTTTTTAATAGAATTCATTTATAACAAATGGAACTTGTGTCAGCAAAGTACAGAAGGACGGCTTCTCGTACAGATGTGTCTTTTCACCAATGTCATCTAAGTATGAAAATAAAAAGCACTCCATTCATTCAGAGAGAGAAAGAAAACAAACTCAAATCAAATCAAAAACAGTTTACATTTACAACTAATCAGAGGTAATTTCATGATTCTTTTTTTTTTTCAACAAGCCATTTTTTCTTTACAATTGAGTTGAATTAGTTTCAGTCTATGCATCCAGATGTGAGAGTAACAGGGAGCTGAGAAACACCACGACGCTTCAGTCCTGCTCGAGAGACACTTCCACTATGTTTTCATTTCTCTTTTCTCTTATTACTTGGGTAGTCTCTTTTCCGTGTTATTTACATACACACCAAGTGAAGTTTGAAGGAGATTCGTACAGTCGGGTTCAAGTAAAATCCGTAATGGGTGCGGAATCAGTAGGGCAGTGCATAGAGATAAAGAGATACAAAGTGCAATTCTTCCTACTCGCGCCCACTGCAGGTCAACTCATGCATATTCAAAAAAGATCCAGAACCGGAAAGAAAAGCCCATGTGGAGCAGATCCGAGAGCCGACAGTTCCGCTGTTCGACACTGACGATGGAAACATTCGATAAAACAACAACATTTGCAACAAGAAAGGGGGGAAAGCATCTGGAATGCACATCCACAAAGAGCTTCAAGAGTCCAATCTTAATATTGTACATAAATGACGACAGGATTGATTGTTTGAATTTTGACGTCATTTTCTGTCACCAAGAACAAAATTTGCTTAAATGTCTGGGAATCTGATGCTAAAGCTAGCTCTTAAAATGACAGAGTGTACAATTCTTCTCAGTGATGTATTTTGACGTCATTTTCCATCGCCAGCAATAATAATTTAAGGTTTATGAAAATAGCTTTGAAGCTAACGCTAAGACTTGCTCTTTAAAAAGACAGAAGGTCTATAATTCTTCTCGTTGGTTTATTTTTACATCATTTTCCATGGCCAACAGCAATAATTAGCTATTTTTGATAGAATAGCTGGGAATATGATGCTAAAACGTGGTCTTTAAAAAGACCAATAGTGTGTAATTCTTCTCAATGGTTTTCTCTGACGTCATTTGTCATCACCAACAATTATAATCAGCTATTTCTGAAAATAGTTGGGAATTTGATGCTAAAGCTTAGTATTAAATAGACAGAAGGTAGATAAATCTTCACAGAGGCTTATTTTAACGTCATTTTTCATCGCCAAACAAAAATGAGCTAAAATAGCTGGAAATCTGATGCTCAAACTTTGTATTGAATAGACAGATAGTATATATTTCTTCTCAGGGGTTCATTTGACATCATTTTCCATCACCAACAACAAAAATGAGCTACTTTTGGAAATAGCTGGGAATCTGACTCCAAGACTTGGTCTTTCAAAAGATTGATAGTTTATAATTCCTCCCATTGGTTTATCTTAATGTCATTTTCCATTATCAACAACAATAATTAGCTATTTTTAATCAAATGGCTGTAAATCCCATGCTAAAAAGACAGAAGGTGTATAATTCTTCTTAGTGATTTATTTGGACGTCATTTTCCACAACCGAAGTTTGTATTTTTGGCGAATATCCTCAGGATTCGTGTCGTTTGAGAACTCAAATGCCTCTAATAAGAAATATGAGAGAAATGATTTAACAGTATCGGGCCTGACGGTGGTCAATCACCTTTCTTTTCGCACCCTTGTCATTTTTTTTATTTTCTCTGAGCCAAATTAAGGCCACAGAAATCAAACAGTAATGATGGAGTTACGTATTTGCATATATAATTTTCTATAATATAAATCCGTAGGTGAGGGAAATCAACCGATAAATACTCGTACATGAACTACCGAAACTATACACGTCATTAAATGAATATCGTAAAAAAGAACAGGCATAAATATAAGGCACTCTAAATGCAAACGAATGAACACATGGACGTCTTTTATTACGTGTGGACGATGAATATGACGACGATCGCCCGCCAAAACCCCTCGGCTGTAGAAACTCGATTTATTGCACAAGAAAAGATGAGTCCGTCTGATGTGCATTCCAGCGGATGTACACAAAACCCACCATCATCTCCATATATTATCATATTTATATATATATTGATATATCTATCTTATGCTTTGTGAATATACATTTGGACGTTATATAAATAAAGACATCTTCTCTGTAATATCTCTCTCTGCTCATGGAAGAACTGAGATATCTTCTAACCTTTATACTCTGCCCACCGCATGATTCACGGCGCACACAGAAAACTGATGCCACAGACCACCAGCGAAAAACGGCGACGGGAAAAAGTGCCAACATCGGGACGCCAGAACGAAACCAGAGCGAGAAAAATGGTGGAAAGCAAGACACGCTCAGTCTGAGCAGATTTCCGTCATGAAGAACAGAAAAATGTGAGACACGGTGAGGAAACGCAAAACGGAAGCCGCTGTGAGTTATTTCTCTCCAGAACCATCAGGCGATTACTGTAGTTCAGTTCCTTTAGCTTTCTTTCTTTCCTCATGATGATGATGATGATGATGACGATGAAGTCTCCTTTCTTCATCCGTGACGTTTCTCCTCTTATTGATTGTGGATTAAACCAAACTCTTCTGTCTGATGTGTATATCGAGCTCCCCGTCTCACCAAATGCTTCAGCACATCCACAGTTTGATGAATCCTAACAGCAGCGATTATCCCGCTTCAGATTCACCTCTTTATTATTATTATTATTATTATTATTATTACTATTTCTTTATTCACGTATTCGTTATTTTCAGATCGGGGTGATTTTTTGTCTTGGTCCACCTGGATGTTTGTCTGTTATTGTCGTTTGTAAGTATTTCTAGGTTTACGTTGCACATCCAACATGTAATCGAAGAGTTTAAGTTCTTTTCACAAGCAGGTATTTATGGCTCAGAAGAATTAAATGACCGCTGGATGTCCGATGGCCGATGCGTCTCCCTGACAGCGTGACCGAGATCTTATGTTGCATAGTGGTCGAAGCTCCCGAGATACTCCAACCCGGCTCTGTAACAAAACTGGTACTGATCCTGAGAGAGAAAAAACAGAGAGAGATATATAAATTATTAGTGTTTTTACCTGACTTGTTAATTAACGTGTTTTTGTTTATTCACTACTACTAAGTCGGTTGTTTACTAATGTTCTGTTTATTGTAAGCATAACAAATGCTTCGGAAATACATATGATAAATTCGTCATGCAAATAAAGTAAGTATGAGTGTGAATTTGAGAGATTAGGTCAGACAATAAATGTAAAGTCCGTATGAAGTGATGTTTCGAGTTTGTCGCACAACAGAAAAAAACACTATTACCAACCCAGCCGAAGATAAACGCTAATAAAATGGTAACTAAAATAAATTTGAAAATTAGACATGACTGTCTGCTTTGAAATGCTGGGGGCGTGTCCAATTGGTAGGGGGAGGGGTCTAATGGCTGCACTGAAACCCCACCCACTCACAAGAAAGTAGCCTTCTCAATAGACCGTAGCAACAATAGAATCGCCACAATAAATCGATTAGTATAGTTATCGTGTTACCATAGCAACAATAGAATCGCGACAGCAGATCGATTACTATAGTTGTTGAGTTACCATAGCAACAATAGAATCGCGACAGCAGATCGATTACTATAGTTGTTGTGTTACCATAGCAACAAAAGAATATCGACAGCAGATCAATCACTATAATTGTTGTGTTACCATAACAACAATAGAATAGTGACAGCAGATCAATTACTATAGTTGTTGTGTTACCATAGCAACAACAGAATCACCACAATAAATCGATTAATTTAGTTATCGTGTTACCATAGCAACAATAGAATAGCGACAGCAGATCAATTACTATAGTTGTGTTACCATAGCAACTATAGAATCGCAACAGCAGATCAATTACTATAGTTGTGTTACCATAGCAACTATAGAATGACCACAACAGTTCAATAATATAATTGCTGTATTGCCTGGGCAACTATAGAATCTGTACATTAGACCAAATACAATAATTGCTGTACTACTATAGCAACTATCGAATCACCACAACAGATTCATTACTATATTAATTGTGTTCCCATGGCAACTATAGAATTATCAGTTTACCACAGTACCAGTATTGACTATGATCACCATAGTATTGTTTGGATCATGTGTGAGTTCAGGGTAAACAGTGAAGATCATGATGATGATGATGATGATGATGATGAACAGCTGGTTTTCAGTGTTGTGCTCCTCTGAGCGGCTGCTATGGATTTTTGTGTGGCTCTTCTCTTCTGCTCTGTTCTCTGTGAAAGTGGTGTGTGGCGCGACGCTCCCGCCGTTCTAATGCCAGCGCTTTTGTGCCGCGCGTGAAAAGAAGGGATTGTGTTGTGCGGAGCGTGATATTCGAGCCTCATCACCTCGCTGTCCGCATTGATCGCGGAAAATAATTTCCCTCCATTGACGCTGGGAAAGGCCATTGTGAGGGTTAGCTGTGAAATTGCTTATCTGAACCAATTTGCATGGCTAACCTGAAGGGTTTGTCGTTATAAATGAGAACCAGCGTTTGCAGGACGAACAAAGCTGCGTTTGCTCCTCATCACAGACACAAACTCAATTCTGAAGGAAACTTGAGAAACACCAATCCCAAAGCTGACCTGTGTGTGTGTGTGTGTGTGTGTGTGTGTGTGTATCTGTTTCTGTGTGTGTGTGTGTGTGTGTGTGTGTATCGAGTACGAGTATGTGTTCTTACTTCAGTCTGGACCATCGCCGGCCGCTGCGTTCTCAGCATCTTGACGGTCTGGAAGATGTCCACGACTCCTTCATAGCGCATCCGCTCCAGAACTATACTGAGTGTGATGAAGACCCCCGTCCTGCCCACACCAGCACTGCACACACATACACACATTTGATGTGATTATATCCTCTGTATCTTACACTCAGCTGTTTGATATCAGATAATAATTAGTTCTCAGAGACGTTCTGATTTTCCTTCTGCTGTACTGATGGAGAGCGTCCTCTGCTCGTCTGCCGGATGTTTTCTTACCTACAGTGGACTGAAATGGGTCCGTCCTGACCGAACTGCTCTTTTGTTTTATGCACTTGGCCGATGAAGTCGATAAAACCTTCCCCTGATTTTGGCACTCCTTGTTCTGGCCAGTCTGTGAACTGAAACTGCCTGACGGTCCGCGACTGTCCATCCTGAAACATGGAGAACAGGCCAACATAAAGATCTGCAGCGTTTCTCCAGACTTACATGCACTGTTTTCCCACCATTGATAAGATTTCTCCTTAACTGATAGTTTTCAATCACTTGACCTGGTGAACATGAGCCGTAATGGAGGCAACACAGGGATTATTTTCTTCACTTCTGCTATTTATACTTATTCTGTCAATTTAGACTTTGCTTTTTAATATATACTTATCATCAATTCTGTTAAAGTTAATTATGTTACTGCCAACTCTGTCACTGTCAACTTCTGTTATTGTCAACTCTGTCATCTCCAACTATTATCGTCAACTCGGTTTTCATCAACTATGTGACCTTCCACTTTGTTATCGTCAACTCCATTATCATCAACTATTAGCATCAATTATGTTACTGCCAACTTTGTTATCGTCGACTCTTTGTTATCGCCAGCTATTATCATCAACTCCGTTATGTAACTCTGTTACAGTCAACTCTGATACTGTCAACTGTGTTATCATCAACTATTATCATCAATTTTGTGCCTGTCAACTGTTTCGTCAAATCTGTTACTACCACCTCTGTTATCGTCAACTCTGATATCGTCATTTTTGTTATCGTCAACTTTGTTACCGTCGACTTTCTTCAACAGTTATTGTCAACTACGTTACTGTCAATTCTGTTATCGTCAACTCTGTTAATGTCAAATATGTAAGTCAATTGTATTATCGTCAACTCTGTTATCATCAATTATGTTGTTGTCAACTCTGTCATCGTCAACTATTATCATCAACTCTGTTATCGTAAACTCTCACATCGTCAACTCTGCTACCGTCAACCTTGTTGCTGTCAATTCAGTTACTGCCAACTCTGTCACTGTCTACCCGCTGTTATCATCAACTCTGTTATGGTCAACTATTGTCAACTCTGTTATCTTCAATTATGTTATCCCCAACTATTATCATCAACTATTATCGTGAATTCTGTTATCGTCAACTCTGATATTGTCAACTCTGTTCAACTTTGTTACCGTCAACTCAGTTTTCTTCAACAGTTATCTTCAAATCTTAATCGTCAATTATGTTATCGTCAAATATTTTATCGTCAACTGTTAACTCTGTTATCATCAACTGTAATTGTCAACATTGTTATCATCAACTGTTATGGTCAACTTTTATCGTCAACTTTGTTATCGTCAACTGTTATCCTCAACTCTGTTATCATCAACTGTTATCATCAACTGTTATCGCCAACTCTGTTATCTTCAACCCTGTTATCGTCAACTCTGTTATCATCAACTCTGTTATCGTCAACTGTTATCATCAACTCTGTTATCGTCAACCCTGTTATCGTCAACCCTGTTATCGTCAACCCTGTTATCGTCAACTGTTTTCATCAACCCTGTTATCGTCAACTTTTATCATCAACTCTGTTATCGTCAACCCTGTTATCATCAACTCTGTTATCATCAACTCTTATATCGTCAACTGTTATCGTCAACCCTGTTATCGTCAAGTCTGTGATCGTCAACTCTGTTATCATCAACACTGTTATCGTCAACTGTTATCATCAACTCTGTTATCGTCAACTCTGTTATCCTCAACTCTGTTATCATCAACACTGTTATCGTCAACTGTTATCATCAACTCTGTTATCGTCAACTCTGTTATCGTCAACTCTGTTATCGCTCTGTTATCGTCAACTCTGTTATCGTCAACTCTGTTATCGCTCTGTTATCGTCAACTCTGTTATCGTCAACCCTGTTATTGTCAACTCTGTTATAATAAACTGTTTAACAATAAGTCAAACAACAATTAGTAACACAATTAAATTTTCCCTATCACATTTTGGCATTATTTTGCAATAATAATGGATTAATTTTACTGTAATTTATACATTTACTCCCATTCAAGTTCATGAAAAATGAATGGAAAATGCGTGAAATATACCCACATTTCTGCACTGAGTCTTATGTACGGCTGAATGTGATATTTACATGAAATGAAGCAGTCTGGTGTGGTTTTCTGTGTTTCTCTGTCAGCTATATATTTCTACATTTATATATATTCAGTCGCCCACATCCGAGACTCGTGTGGTTTGATTAATTCCTCCGCTGTGGGCGACTGTAAAGCTCCTGACGAGCAGCTCAGAGTTCACATTTCTCTGCTGGTTTTGTGTTTTCCAGATAACAGAGCTTTCGGTCTGTCAGCTGAATGTCTGTTTTCTCACCCGCGCGTCCGTCACTTTAAACTCTCTCAGGATGTACTGCGGCATGTTGTATTCGGCCATTGGATCCACCACAAAGTACTGATATCTGGCCGATCGCTCCGCGGGCCAGTACTGATGGCACTTCTCCTGGAAACACACACACACATACAAAGATGAAGCATTAGTGCACAACAGCAGGAGAATACACTGACATCAGCATTCATTAATAGGGGAAATATAATGAAGAAAAGACAATCAAGATAATTCATTCAAATGACAATTAAATCAACCTTAATGTTGCCTTTTAAGAAAAGCATCTATGTATATTGATGCTTATGTAATAATTTACTATTCCAGCATATGTTTTACATAGCAGATGCCCTTTCAGCTGCAACCCAGCACTAGGAAACACCCATACGCACTCATACACTACGGCCAGTTTAGTTGATCAGTTCCTCTATAGCGCATCCGTCCGCCAGCACGGATTTTTATATTAGTAATATATATATATATATATATATATTCATATATATATATATATATATATATATATATATATATATATATATATGAATATATATATATTTATATATATATATTTTTTAGGAAATTTACGAGCATTTTGTATATTTTTATTTATTGGTTTAAATAAATAAAATCAAGCAAATGTTGAACTGAAATTTGTAAAAAAAAAAAAATATATATATATATATATATTTTTTGTTTAGCAAACATTACCCACATTATTTTCAACTACTTGACATTATTGATTATTTCTAGTATATTATCAAATATTAAAACTGTTAATGTCCGATTTTCACTTTTTCATGAATATTACAAATGACACAATTTACGTTCTTCAAATATTTTTTGCAATTCATTTTTTAATTATAATTTTTTTTCTATTTAATTATTTTTAGCAAGTTATTATTTAAATTAATATTAATCTCTTCAGTTTTTTGCGCAATTTATATCTGCAAATACTCCATACTTTCAACCTTTTAAAAAAAAAAAAAGAGTGCATGTTCATATATATTGATTTGTCTTAGTTATGGATCTGTACGTTAACACTCACTCTGCCCATCTCTCTGAGTTTGGTCAGCATCACCACGATGGTGGAGTTGTGTTCCCAGAGCATCCTCCAGAAGTCTTCTGTGGTTTCAGCTAAAGGACCCTGTGTGGCGATGTAGGCCTTCTGCTGCCTGATCACACGGACAGAAAAACACCGTCAGCTTCGATACCTGTGATTTTTAAAAGGAGGCGTGGCACCAAACCCCGCCCCTAAACCCAACCCTCATTAAGAAAATTGTACTAAATTGTACGGTAACACTTTATTTTGATGGTCCATTTGAGTATTAGTAGACTGTCTGCTTAATATCTGCTGATACTGCTCTTTCATCAGACATTTAACTGACTATAAGACACTTTGCAAGTACATGTCAACTTACACTAACCCCAACCTAACAGTCTACTTATAATCTAATGAGAATTAGATGGCATGCAGATGCAATGTACGTTAATTCAACAAACGTCCATCAAAATAAACCAATGACCAATTGTACAAACGAGATTGAACAAATTTATAGGAATTAGCCACTAAATCAGAAAGTTCTGGATTGTCTTGTGCTATCGTTGTGCTTACCTGTATCCGTCGATGAAGCTGCCGTTGATGTAGTCCGAGCCCTCCACGCCGCGGATCGGCTGCAGGCACACCCGCGTCGACTCGTACGGCATGATGTTCACCAGCCGGTTCTTGAATTTGTTGCAGGGCAGATTGGCACTGATGAACCGCGAGGTGTGAGCTTTCGTGTTCGCTAACCGCTGTGGGAAACAGAGAAAACACTGTGACAATCACAAAAAAGCTGGAAAACGGCGTTTTCATCCAATGAGTCAAAGATAACGAAATCATCACTAAAAAACTGCCAGTACTGGGAAACACCCATACACACTCATTCACACACACATACACACTTATACACTACGGCTAATTTAGTTGATCAGTTCCCCTATAGCGCATGTGTTTGGACTGTGGGGGAAACCGGAGCACCCGGAGGAAACCACACCAACACGGGGAGAACATGCAAACTCCACACAGAAACACCAACTGACCCAGCCGGGACCCGAACCAGAAACCTTCTTGCTGTGAGGCCACAGTTATAACAGCTGAACCACCAAAGAAATAAATATGAAAACAATAAAAACTGCATAGAGATTTACCTTGAACTCGAGCTCCATGCCGGTGACGTTCTCTCCGGACTCGATCTGCGTCAGCTTCTGGATGTAGGCGTACAGGTTTCGGGCCGGTACTTCGGTGGTCCCGCAGTTAACGGCCTCCTGCAGCGAGTCGTGGATGAACACGTACTGATCCTCCGTCTGGACCATGTAGTTCCTCTGCGCACGCATGAGCGTCACGTGACCATAAATATCCACTGTTTTCTCGTGTTTAATTCGCTCCAGCATGGCGTCTATGACGATAAAGCAGCCCGTCCGACCCACGCCAGCGCTGAAATACCAGAGAAAGTGTATTCGCTTGAAAACCAGAAGTCATGAATACACGTGCACTCACATTTATCCAAACTGACTAACAATTAAGAAAGATAGAAGCACTTCAATTGGTCAAAGAGCAGGAATATATCCAGTAATGGCCATGGTTAGCCTGAGTTAGCTTAGCAGCTGTTATTTTATTCAAAACCTTTATAAGAAAGTGTCTTACGAAGAGGAAAACAGCATGTGGTTTATCAGCACACCCAAATAAAAAAATACAAAAGAAATACTAGACTAGAATGCTGCTGAAAAGTAGCTTAGAGCATCATCTACTGATAAAAATACCATAGAGTGCCACATACTGCTAAAAACTAGCTTAAAACTGTTTTAAAAAAGCCTAGAGCACCATATACTGTTACAAACTAGTCTAGAACACCATTCACTGATAAAAACTAGTGTAAAGCGCCATCAACTGTTAAAAACTAGCCTAGAGCGTCTTCTAATACTAAAAACTAGCTTAGAACTGTTAAAAACTAGCTTAGAGTGCCCTCTACTGGTAAAAGTTACCTAGAGCACCATCTACTGATAAAAATCTTGCATAAAGGGTCATTTATTGAGTAACAATCAGTTTAGAGCAAAATCTACTGTTCTAAACTAGCTGAAAACTGTTAAAATGAGCTTACAGCACCATCAACTGTTGAAAACTAGCCTAGAGCGCCATCTAGCATTAAAAACTAGCTTAGAACTGTGAAAACTAGCATAGAACGCCCTCTACTGTTAAAAACTAGCCTTGAACAACATTTATTATTAAAACCTAGCTTCGAACTGTTAAAAACTAGCCTAGAGCGCCATCTACTGATTAAAAAATGGCCCAGAGCATCATCTACTGTTAAAAATCAGCCTAGAGCACCTTCTACTGATGAAAACTAGCCTAGAGCTCCATCTACTGATTAAAAACTGGCCTGGAGAGCATCTACTGTTGAAAATCAGCCTAGAGTGTTGTGTACTGATGAAAACTAGCCCAAGAACTGTTAAAAACAAGCTTAGAGCGCCATCTATTGATTTAAAACTGGCCTAAAGCGCCATCTACTATTGAAAATCATCCTAGAGCACCATCTACTGATTAAAACTGACCTAGAGCGCCATCTACTGTTGAAAACTAGCCTAGAGTGCCATCTGCTGATTAAAAACTGACCTAGAGCGCCATCTACTGTTGAAAACTAGCCTAGAGGGCCATCTACTGATTAAAAACTGACCTAGAGCGCCATCTACTGTTGAAAACTAGCCTAGAGGG